GTCCTTCTATCTCCAGCAGAACATAGAGTGTGTCTTTGACGGGGACAGCCTCAGCTGGCAGGTGATAGGGCTGGAGGTAGGAGGGAGTCTTGTACAGTCTCATGCTGACATTGAAGTATCCTTCTCTGACCTCGAAGTGTGCTGACCTGAGGAGAGAGAAGGAGACCTCACACACAGAACAAGGCAGGAAGGACATAGCACAAGACAGGCCAGAGGTGCACTGACTCGGGATGTGCCTCTGCTCTCAGGTGAGAGCCAGGCCCCAAGCTGCCTCTGGGCTGGTATGTCCATACTTTGTGCGGACAGAGACCGGGAGCCCCAGGAGTTCTCACGGACTGCCTGGCCAGTGAGGCTATGAGAAAGGTAGATTGTGCATGCTCCTCTGGCTCTGTCCCAGGTGCAAACCTCGTGTTGAAAAACCATTTTGGGAAGAGAGGCAGCCTGATCTCAGAGCCCTCTAGTGGCTCCCCAGGGCCTTTGCAGATCAGCTCATTGAAGGCATCTATTTTTCTGCAGGCTCTTTCATGTCAGCAGTGAGGCAAAGAGGGACCACTCACTTGTCAGCAGCAGTGGGACCAGCAGACAGTCTCACCACTCGCTCATAGGCGTAGTCACAGGAGAAATTCAGCTCAAGCTGAAAACTCTCGGGAATCGCTGCCCCGTGCACGTCCCACCCTGACTCCATGACATTGGAGTATGACACGTGGGAGCCGTTTTGCTGGAACGACACAGAAATTGAGTCTCCAGAATATGTTTAAGTTCATACCCAGAGCCCCAGGGTGCGGTTCAGATGGTGCAACTCAGCTGCTCCAGGCCTGGATACCTGCTGGGGCTTTGCTCAAGCCCCACGTCCAGAGACTGCCAGCAGGCAGAGCAAGCAGGAGTCAGCAGAGTGACCACAGGTGAGGGCACTGCAGAGCTGGAGCACTGATTCCTCTGAACCCTCCCTGACCCATGAATCAAGTGAGGGACAAAGGGGCTACAGCCAGGGCTGCAGAGCTCAAAGGATGCTACCAGAAAGCTGTGAGGTGTTACCTAGGTGATAGCTAGAGCTTTCCAACAGCCCCCCAGTGAAGCCTTCTAAGGGGAATGAGAACTTTACAGCACCCAATATCAAAGGGAAAGCTTCTGGGGTTTCCCCTTTGCTGTGCACACTGCACATCTGCTCCTCTCATGGCTTC